TGGAGAAGCCGAAGGAAGAAGGTAAGACGGTGAAGGGAGAAACAGATCCGCCTAAGGAGTTTCCAGACCAGTCTCACCAAGGCCTACATTGGCACGGCCACACTGTGGCTCGGAGGATGACCCCTAACCGCCCAGCACACGGCGGGCTCCTCTCTGCCGCGTAGAGAAGCACAACCCACCCACCAGTGCCCCCACTTACTTTGCGCAAAGGCCTCCTGAACGTCTCCCCCGACCCCGGTGAGGGAGTCCTGAGGCGTGTGCGAGGGGCTGGAGCAGGCGGACGCGGAGCGCACCGGCATGGGGATGGGCCTGCTGATGGTGTGGCTGGGGGAGGAGCGAGGAGAACCTGCCCCCTGCGTCTGGAGAGACAACGCAAGGCATTAACGTGTTTTCCCAAAGCTTCCCAAATGTCAAAAACAGTAACAGTGAGGCTCCCAAGCAGGAGGACGTCCTGGGTAATGGAGATGGTAATCCTAAACCTGAGTTGCAGGTGCAGGTAATTCAGGACCTCGTTGTCTATAATCTGGAGTTTTGGTTACATGTCGAGAGTTAGGAATATTAGTAGAGCACTGTTCTGTAGTACATGAGATGTGCGCCCAAGTAATGAGGCTACTGTTAGGCAGTGAGAATTACAAGGTGTGTCTGTTTCTTCCTCGAAGGAAGTTCTGCGGAGAATAAAAAGACATTTCAGGACAAAGTTTGAAATATAAACCAGGAGACTATTGGGGATGGATGTGGTTTGTGTAATTCCTAAATTTTCAACCTCTCTGTCCTGGCATGATCTTTAGAGGATAATTTATAGGCCAGATCATGCCATGTAATATTGTGCATATTGAGTCTCAAATTAAGAATCAAATGAGGTATGAATTGTTTCATCCCTACTTTTTAGTAAAAGTTCACTTTGTCAAATTGCTCTGTGACTCAGGGATTCAGATGGGGAAGAGAAAAAAAGAACTCTTCATTTCTAATTTTTGGCTACTGTAGGGATTTTTAGCTACATTTCCTATAGGGAATGTCCTTCTCTTCGTCTATGGAAAAGCAGTTATTTTAGCAATAAGAACAGGGAGATTTAAAGGTGAGTAAAGAAAAAAGTAGAAAACAACTAAAAGCCATTTCTGTCTATATTACAGTCCTAGGCATGAAACCATTCACACCTTGAATTTCACAGCTTTGTCTCTACAATGAAGTTTCTTGGAAAGATTTTCCGTGTTATAATAATTAGTTTACAAAGGAAGCCAGTCATGAGTAAGGAAATGCAATGCAACCCTCAGGTGCATACTCAAAGATTGGGTGTTCACATAAACTCCATTCGTCTGTTGGGTCTGGCCAGGGAGAGGGAGGACTCTTCCATAGCAAGGCCCAGAGATTCAGCATCAACCCATTCAAACCCATGAGAGCGGTGCTCTGGAGTATTCGATTTAGACTTGCTGTGGGGTCTGCTTGCAGTTAAAACACACAACATCAATCCTGTAAAATGCCATGCTGTTAGCTTTCTGGGGCTCAGCATCACACATAAAAGTCAAATCTATAAATTGAGAAAAATCTAGAATTAAAAACGAGGCAAAACAGAACAGAGCAAAGAACTCATGTGATGACCAATGGCCTGGGGGTGCCACTCTTTCACTCTCAACAGTACCTTGAATGGTCTGTCCGGATCCAAGGAAGAGCAGTTTGCCTGCTGGTGTGATGCTTGGCAGCCTGTTGGCCCAGCCTGCCCAAGAACGGGTCTGGTTTTCCCCGGCAGACTTTGCCAGCTCAGTCTCATTAACCACGAAACCTAGGCTGAGCTACCATGGCATCCCCCTGCTCCCCACGCCGATAAGAAATGACTTCACTTTTGCATCGTGCTTTGCCAGGTAGAAGGGTTTTCACGTGCCTCCCCACTGATTTCTCTCCACAACCCACTGAAATAGGCATCATTACTCTAAATGTGCAAGTGTGGATCGCAATGCTCAGAGAGGCAAAAAGGATTGCTCGGGAGGTGGAGCGGGAGAGCCTGGGCTGGGGTCTGAGCACGGATGCTCTGGCTGCCCTGGGCTGCAGGGACCTGGCTGGGTTTGGGCTGCTGAGGGTCCCTCAAAGGAGTTCCGCTGCCCTGAGGGCTGCTTCCCCCTGGGAACCCCACCTGTGCACCATTCTCTAGGCAGGGCTCCTTGCCCTTTCTTACCTGTCCTTTTCTGCAAGGACCAGTCACACAGCAGGGAGGAGGGACTGGGATGGGAAGTTGGACAGTTGAAGGAAGGAGGCTCTTCTTGGCTACACAGCTGGCTCACCCTCTCAACTCTGGGGAGCCAGACCCTCTTCTGGGGTAGGAGGTTCATAATAATAATAATATAACTGTACTTTTATATGTAACTTACAGTGGCCAAAGCACTTTTACGTACATTGTTTGGTTTCATTCTCCTCATAATTGGTGCTAGGAATGATAGTTGCTTATATTTGAATAGCAATTTGCAGTCTATAAAGCAATTTAACCCTAACTATTTCACTTAATCCTCCTAGCAACCATATGAAGTATTATATTCCCATTTTTCAGGTTAGCCAACTGAGGTTCAGAGGTGATAACTGGGTTACCCAAAGCCTCTGAGCTAGAGATTGGCAGAAACAAAGTGGATTCCCAGCCTTTCATCTACAAGCCTGGGGCTTTCCCACAGCCTCACAGCCGCTTCTGAGGACCGAAGCCACTGTGACCACCCATCACAGGCTTCACTAACGGAGAAAGGTTTCGCAGCCTGAAGGCTGAGAAGGTGCAGGACCTGGACCCACCAGAGAGTGGTGTTGGAGTAGCACCTAGGGCTCCGCCTGGGCTGGACAATACCTTTCAGTTGCCCGGATCATGGGGTGCAGTATGAGCACTCCAGGGGTGGAAGAGCCTGTGGGCTGTTTATCAATTGCTACAGAAATGCAGGTGGAAATCTCTTATCTGCAAATTTAGGTTCTGAATCCTGGGACATATCTGGAGCCAGTGATTTCAGATGGGGGTTGTGGGTGTGCATTTCGGGTATTTTAATGGCTATCCTGGAGCTGCTTGCACCGTTCTGTCGGGCTCTCCAGGACAGGGTGCCCGCGGGGCTGCCCCTCCCCTTTGGGCACTAACCTGGCCCCTTTTTTTTTTTTTTTTTTAAGATTTTATTTATTTGACAGAGAGAAACACAGTGAAAGAGGGAACACAAGCAGGGGGAGTGGGAGAGGGAGAAGCAGGCTTCCCGCTGAGCAGAGAGCCTGATGCGGGGCTTGATCCCAGGACGCTGGGATCATGACCCGAGCTGAAGGCAGACGCTTAATGACTGAGCCACCCAGGCGCCCCTAACCTGGCCCTTCTAACCTTCCTGTTTGTAAGTCTCTTACCTCCGGTGATACTTTCCCCTTCTCACGCCCTGAGCTCTCCCACTAACTGTGTTTGAGGCATTCCCAGTTCTAACGCTCTGCTTAATATGGCCTGGTTTCCAAAACCAACTTTCCCCACTTCTCTCTGCCTGCTTCCTTCCTTCAAAATCCCTATTAGTGGTTCTGTATTAAGAGAAAAATAATTGACTGTAGTTATGTGTTAAGGGAAAAACAACGGACTGAATCTAAATTACACCAATGTATGAATGACGGATAGCAACCATCTCCTAAATGAATCTCTAACTGGTGCAATTTCAAGCAGTCTGATTATGTGAAGAATTTAAGTGGAGATTCTGTGCTGGAGACAAGATTCAGTGGCATCTTCCCTGCAACTCCCAACACCCACGGCATGTCCAGACTCTGGGGAGGGAAGGGCCCTGGCATCCTGGCTGATCATGTCTCTTTGTCTAGTTTGATGCACTTCCTGGGACCTACCACTGGGAATGTCATCTCTGGCCTTCCTTCCGGCTCTTTCCCTAGGGTCACTAGGAAAGGGCAGTTGCCTCTTGGCATTGGGGTAGATCAGTGGAGATATCACTGGGTTTCATTTTCAGGTGGTGACCCCTGTAGATGGTGGCCTCTGGCCTGGTCATGAAGTCTGGTTGTCTGCTAATAGCTTCAGAAGAGTTAGAGTGAGTAATCTCTGTGAACATCCTTTCCTGGAAATTACTTGATGATTAATGGAGAGAAGACTTAAGGGACAATGGTCCATGCAGATCAATATATAGATCTAAAATTCCTGAGAGGAGAGTTGAGTTATGGAAGAAGGAAAACATACATCATATTAAAAATAGCTCGCTTCCCAGCGAATAAATGAAAAATTCATTTCTGCACTCCATCCTCGGAGTCCACTCAACTTGCTGTTGTATCAATTTTTAAGAAGTCTGACAAGATCCATACATTTTTCTGATTCTTTTCCAGGAAGCATTTTCGTTTCCTCTCAGTACCAGAAATGAGGGAGGCTTCAGGGAAAGGACCAAATGTGTAATCGCTGAAGCAACAGTGCCTGGAGCCATGGCTGAGCAGATGACCATGAGACAGGGGTGTACACCCTCCCCCTGACTGAAAAGTCTGCCTCAGATTTGACTGGAACACAGCCCAGTCCACCTAGTTTTCCTTAGCAGCTGAGAAGGTTCAGCAGAGCAGTGTTTGGCTATGTTCAACCCTCTTGTCATCCTTTCTTCCGATGCGCACACACTGACTATCCTTGTAGGGATTGCTGTGTCCACAGTGCTGTGGGGATACAGATGAGGTGACTAATTCTGACAGGTCAGGCAGGAGGCATCACTTGACTTGGGTCTCAATAGTGGAGATTTCGGGGTAGAAGAGAGGATGTATTGCAAGGAGAGAAGAACATTCCAGGCCTTGGAGTGTCATGAGCAAGGAAAGGGAAGGGCGAGGAGGCCAGGATGGTGGATGTGCCAGCCAGGTTCATTGTGGGGAATAGAAGGGACTGAGACTGGTGAGGGGTGGTGCCAGGTTTGGGGGTCTCTAATGCCATAAAAGGGGCTAGATTTAATCTGAACTGGAAGGTCATCTCCTCAGGTTTTTAAGTAGAGAAATAATTTTTACTTTCCTAGAATTAATGGACTAATCCCTAATTTTAAAAAAGATTGTGTGAGAGAGTGAGAGAGTCTGAGAGGATATGTTTTGAACATTAGATGTCAGTCCTAATATCACAGTTGGTTATTTATGAGGTGAATTCCCCCCCCACTCCCCTATCCCACTTGTGATTGCGTCATCACTCTCCACAGGACACTCACCAGAGAGGATGGGCAAGGGAAAGAAAGGAAGGTGAACTGATGCTGGTAGAACTTGTCATTTCTGGCCTGTTCATGTTCTATAATGTGTTTGGGAGAAGTGGGAACCTGAGCGACCAGGATTTCCCGAGTTCATGGGGCCTCCAGTTGTAAAGAGAGAAGAGAATGGGGGCAGGAGGTAGGATTTAAAATGTTTCACTTTCCTCCTCTGACTGAGACACTTAGTTAACTGGAAGGAGGAGAAGTGGATGTGTGTGTGTGTGTGTTTGTGTGTGTACATGTGTGTGTGTAAAATATGGGTCCAGTTAGAAAAGTTTACATATTGTTGGACGCATGTGTATACATCTATATGCAGTTTTATACCAGTCTCTGACATGCATATAGTATTTTACAAAGTGCTTTCACATCCATTATCTTTGAAAATCTATGCAACAATCCCGTGAGCCATGTATTATCAGTGTGTTTGAAATAAATTCCCGGGAAGCTGATTGACTTACTCAAGATCTTACAGGTGTGAGTGAAGAGCGGGGATCCCCTACAATCAGGTCTAACGCCAGCGGTCTCTCTACAAAAATTTTTATTGAGACCTTACATTCTGAACTCAAAGCCGGGATATCTGGTTTTAGATTGCGACGTGATATTTGGCACTGGAAGTCTACCAGAAACTCTGAAACATATTGTCAACTGCAATTACACCCCAGCTGCCTTCATTGTTAAACTTTTTATGAGTGTTCTTTTTATGATTCCTTCAATAAATCTTAAAATACACAAAGAAGAAAGAGGGTAGGATAATTTTGATTCAAGTTTTGTAAAAAAAAAATTTATTGCTTATGATACCATAATCATCATATTATATTACAGTCACTATTTTTTTTTTTTAATTCATGTTCTCTCCTCAAGGGGAATAAATTCATGCGTTACCTCTAACAAGAAACAGTGTAAGTAGGAATTATATATACCAGTATAGTAAAATACATCGAACCACACAGACTTATGATAAAGCAAGTAGAGGTTATTAAATCAAGCACAATTTGTTGTGCGCAGTGTCTGAAATCTGATTTTACAAAGAGAATGTCCCCAAAGGGGTAAGGCTCATAAATAAAAACAGAATTTAGAAGCAGACGCCAGACTAAAACCTCTAAATTCTCTCCTTAGATCATGTTATACCAAAGGAAGTCTATATATTTGGATGGCAGAAGTTCATTTCCTTGTAGAACAGCCTGCTCCAGATCGGGCCAGACAGGGTTCTGTCTTTAATTTTGACTGAAGGTCAGTATAATAATCAGCCACTTGACATCTGCGGCTGCATTTATCCGTTTTATTACTTAGCACTCCTCCTCTAAAGCTCTGAGGGAAGACTTCCTTCTTATATTTCATGCCAACAGAAATTTTGGTCCCCTGAGAACTGGCATTTTGGTTCTGATAAAACCACCAATTATGTTTTCCTTTTTTTTTTTTTTTTTGTCTCCTCGCCAAACAGCTCAGAGGCACACCCTTGTCCCTTACGATGAGCATACTGGCATTTTCTTTTCTTTTGTTTCTGATTTTTCTGGATTTATTTTATGAAGCCATTGTTGATGTCTGTTGTAAGCTACCTCGGGTCCTTTTCGAGAAGAGGCTTGAGTATACAAGCAAAGCAAATGAGTAAAGACGAGTCAACGGTCTCCCCACCCAGACAGTGCATTGGGGCCATCTGGGTGTTGCCAATGAGGGCCCTTTAGAGCCTCTGCAGCAGGACCCAGCTGCGGGCTGCCTCCGAGACGCGGAGCCGTGGAGGGCTCCGTGGGAAGAGCTGGAAGGCAAGGAGGCAGTATACTGCTCTAGGCCTGCAGCCGCGCTTTGGCTCTGGGCAGCCATGGATTTGTGAACCCACTGGTCCACTGAGCCTTTCCAGAACGGGTGGCCTGGGAAGAGGCGGGAAAGGGGTCCTCTGGCTCAAGCGAGGCTGACTGACTAGAGGATGGTTGCCCTCTCTCTCCACTAAGTGGAAGAAGGTTATAGGTGAGCCTTTTTTCCCCTTTTCTGTGCACATGCTAAGTCAGAGACAGGAAAGAAAAGAGGCTGTTGTAAAGAGAAGCTGCTAGCCCAGCAAGGCATTTTTCTCTAGCATGATCTAAGTGTGGTGGAAGTCCAAGAGCAATGCCCCGTGTGGGGCTTTACAGGCAACAAGTTTACAGTCCGTCCTTGGCCCACGGGGGACTAGCTCTCCTTCAGATTTGACTCTACTCAAGTAATTTTTTTCACAAAATACAAAATAGTGTCATACATTGTCTTTATTGTCTGACATTACAGATTAGTTTCACACTTTCCTTTTTTACAGACTGTGGGAATGAAAGGTAAAAATGTGTCCAGCATTTTGCAAACATTCTTTGTTACACACAAACACACACAATGAATAATAGGAAAGAGAATACAGAAGAATAAAAGATACGTTGAAATCGGACAGGCTGTGGTTCTAATCGATCCCAGGAAATAATATGAAACTTGCTGATAACACTAGCAAGTGGGATATACTGTCATACACAGCTTGGTACATGCACTTGACATTAAAGCTGCTGTTATTTTGCTTCTATTTTGTTATTGTTATTTTTTGAGTATGCTACTTCCTCTGCTGGATCTGGACCTGACCACAGGGTCAGGCATAGGGTTCCAGTTTAGACTACGGTTAGAGAGTCACAGTGCTCCTGTTTCCAGAGAAGACATACGTAAGGGCCTTGTGAACTCCCAGAGCAGGAAGGTTCTTGGTGATAAGAGCAAGGCTGAAAGTTACCTGTTCTTTTGAGATTATTTTGAACCAATGGTAGGAATTCTGCTTGCAAGAACTAAACAATCTCAGGAAGTGAACACTTGCTGAGTACAGTGTTTCTCTTAGATTGAATACATTTTGGAGATGGGGAGGACAGGGCTTAATAATTATGCAATGAAAAGAGATGCAATTAGCTGACTTTTATACAAAGAGGTCCCACACCTTTCCATTAAAATGGAAACTGAACTAAATGGTCAACAGCTTGAGAGGATGTAGAGGGTAGCTTGAGTGCTGCGGGTTTCTCCTAGTGTAACTTTAGTGGCGGTGGTGGGTGTCTCTCTACTAAGAGAAGAGTCTGATCAACAACCCAGAAAAGCATGAGACGGGTTTGAAACATAGACTGCTGGAGATCTAGGAAGGTCCCAACGAATTACAATTTTTTTCCCTCTTCTAAAAGATGTAATAGCTCTTGTTTTGATGCCGACAGTAGTAATAGTTATAAAAAACGCTAAATTTTATATGTGTCCATTCAAGCACTACATTGAAAAGGAAGCAAATTAGTATGATTTTTTTTTTCTCTTTCCAAACTGAAGCATGAACATACATTAGAGGCAAAAGCAATGAGAAAAACAGCAGGATGGCAGGCCCCTCCACAGTTAGTTAAGACCTGCAGTAGGGAACATAACTTACTCCCTGCTTCAGTTCTTCTTCCTACAGAAAGATTGAATCAATAATAGTTAGATTACCCAGGATTCCAGCAAGAGCATGTATACAGTGTGAGGGAACGCAAGGTGGGGGAAACATCAACATGGCTGATGGGAGCCTCTCCTACCTTGGTGACTTTTAGTTCCACGTCTATTTAGGTATTTGAGACAGACCATCTCTTTCCTCCCTATGTCCATCCATCTTTCACTGTGGTCTATCCCTCTCTCCTGGTGTTTGTACATCCTGATCTGATAGACTGTGCTCGGGTAGGCTAGCTAGGTGGATGCCAAGATGGCTGGTGGTAAATGGACCCCTATCACATTGCTATGGTGACAGAAGCTATGGGAATATAAGTGGGGGGCTGTTTTCAAGGTTTCCTGTCATTCAGTGAAGGGAAAGATGAGATTGGCCCTCTTCATTTGGTATATTTGAAAAGGAAAGCAGAAAGAGCTTTTCTGGATCATCAAATGAGATAATAGGGCAGAAACAGTAAGAGGTTATTAGTTATCTAGTCCTGTCTTCATACGTACAGTACCACAAAAACTGAGTTCTTTGCCTTACATGTCTGAAAAGGAGATTTCGTTTAGAGAAGATAAAGCATTCCCAACACTGATGGCAGGAAAAGTTGACTAAGGAAAAAAAAAAAAAGAGCAGAGAAAACAAAAGAAAGAAGTGTCACACTTATATCCGTGCCAGGACACAGGTTTCAACAAGTATTTGTTAAATAAATAAAAGAAAGGAAGAAAGGAAGAAGGAAAAGAGAAAGAAAAGAGAAAAAAGAAAAGGAAAGAAAGAAAAAGAAGGGACAAACAATAAATGATGGTGTATCAGGGATGTGGGAGACCCAGGGACTGGAAGTATGGACGTCTGTCTCACAGGTGAGCTGCCCCAGGGACCTGGCCTTCCTCACTCCATCAGAGGTTTCAGTTCCTGCCTTTGGCAAGTCCCAGTTCCAATCCACAGTGGTTTCTGCTTGTCTACATCAGGCAGGATAACCACATAGAACTGACTCCTCTACTGAGCCGACTGTGGCCAAGGGGCCATAATTAGTCTCCTTGTGATGTGGAATGTGACTTAGTACATACCAAAGAAGGGAATAGGGATTTATGAAAGGAAGAATGCTACTTCCCAGTGAGAATGACATCACAGCACTCTGCCGAGCACTTCCCTAGGTCATCTTATTAAACCCTCTACCTGAAGAGAGCAAATTCCTATTTACAGTTTGCATTTGAGACTCATTGAAGTTATGTGACTTGCTGCTAAAGCCACAGAGATGAGATGAAATACTTCACTGAAATTAAGTTATTCCTCTTAATAAAACTATAGTCACCCCCAAAATTTCATGGCTATATCTTTGTTTTCTGAATTAGACATTAGCTTCTGTTCACTTTATTCAGAATTACTGAAGCTATTAGATGTAAAGTATTCCTAAATAAATCCAGTTTTATTATTTTCAAGGACATAGGAACTGGAAATAAGCCAAGAAGTTGTCCTTTGAAGGCCCTCAGTGGTCTGGTTCCAGGAAATGGAGAAGAATGAGCCTTGTCATTGACTGCTATCATTTGCTGTATCTAAGAAAAGATCCTGTATCTGAGACTGAAGCCATATTCTGGGGTTAATCACATATAGTCATTGGAAAAACCATTGCACATTATGTGTGAAAGATTTTTTACAAATGCCACAGTCAGAGGTCTAGGAAATATTTATTCGAATCTTACCTTTAGTAGTTTCATGAGGCCTTCTAACTGGACCATTAGCTCTCTCCGGCTCTCCTGGAGAGCAGACATTCTCTGTTCCAGCTCATCCTTGCGCTGTCTAAGAAAGAAGCAGTTGTCATCAGAACAGCTTTCAACCCACTGAGCTGATCACATTTCTCAGTCTTGTGGCAGGAGTGGACCACCAGGAAAAGGGCATCTCTGGATCTCTGACATGGTTTCCAGGCATGGAGATGTTGTCAAATGAATGAACATGAGGTGTACATTTTGTTTGTTACAAGTCGTACTAAAATAGAATTGGAATCCTATTGGATATTCCCTCCCCTCCCCCACTTCTACCTTGAATTAACCATTTAATGAGCTCTTTTCTGAATGCCTACTATGTTCTGGGGCCCTGTGCTCTGCCACTGAGCTCCCTGAGACAACAAACAAAAGCCCAACTGTCACTGAAAAGGGTCAATCCCATAGATCCTCCAAACCCAAGGACCCTTCTGTAAATCTCAAAGGAAATACCAATACCTTAGTATTTGGAAATTGGATTTTAAGAGTTTATTTTTCATTTCTTCCATTCTTCATATGCAATGCGGTGCCTTTCAGAGGTGAAATATTCATACTACAGAATTTTTATGGTCAATTTAAGTTTTCTGCTTTGGGTTTGACTTTATATAAAGCAAAGTCAGAATAAAGGAGTCCTACACAATTGCTCTAACTGAAAATAACCTCTAAGATTTGTTTGTTTAATTTTGTTTGTTTTGCAGAACTTCTACTAAACTGTCAGCAAGAATGGAAACCACAAAGGACAATCTCTACTCTATCGTTTATATCGACACTAAGAGGTACTAAATATACCTTTGAAAGAGAGAAAACAAATGGAACAGTATGGGGAAGAATATTAATGGTTCACATTTCTGACGTCTATGTATATTTTTCAAGTCAATTTCAAATCTGTTATTTCATGATCATTAGTGAATAATACATACAAGTTTTTCCCTTGTCCCAAAGGCTTTTGCCTGAGTTTGAGATAGTGGAACTTATATTTTAAAAATGTGTGGATGCTTTAGCCATGGGCTAATGTACGAATGGATATGCCCAGTCTCAATGGCATAGCAATATCAAGTGGAGCAGAGACTCTGAAATGAAAAACTGACAATGTAAAAATGTCATGCTCACACAGGTCAATGACTCATCCAACTGAAAGATACTTTGTGGGAGGACAGGTTATGGATATTAATGAAACATTTCTAATTTTCTTTGATACAGTCTTTCTCTAATGATTTATGAATTTAAAATTTATAAACATGTCTCAACTCTTTTTGGATATATTTGTATTTTTGGCTTTTATTGCCACTTAAGACTTACTCTCAGAGCATTCCTTCCTTTGATTTTCTTTACAATGTCCTCTTTTCTGAGTCCCAAAGGACAAGGAACACCATGATTTTATAGACTTTAATGGTATCTTATTTTAGCCTTTGTCTTCCAGGGCTGCAACATTCTAATTTTGAAAGCCTTGCTCCATTCAAAAATATTCTTCAATGACAAATCCACTAGCTGTTTTATCTTTGACCTTGTCTGCACATCATGTTCCAAATATACCCACGATAGGGCTTGGTAGAAGGATAGAGAATGTTTCTGATGTATTTCCAGTTCTCTTCCAGATATTGCTCTGTAATTTTTGGATTTTCGGTCAGAGGAGCACTTTGTGAAGAGGGTTGCAGTAAAATTCCAATTTTGTAGATAAGAAATACTAAGAAAGGCATCTAAAAACTATGAGAGAAAGTTAACTGGTATTAATTCAGAATTAATCAACATTACAAAACACTTATTTGTACTTCTTTCTTTTTTTTTTTAAAGATTTTATTTATTTATTTGACAGAGAGATAGAGAGAGAGCACAAGTAGGCAGAGCGGCAGGCAGAGGAAGAGGCAGAAGCAGGCTCTTCGTGAGCAGGGAGCCCGATGCGGGACTTGATCCCAGGACCCTAGGATCATGACCTGAGCCGAAGGGAGACGCTTAACCAACTGAGCCATCCAGGTGCCCCTGTACTTTTTTCTTATAGTAGTAATCTTTCAAAACAAATCTTTCTTTTTTTAAAGATTTTATTTATTTACTTATCTGAGAGAGAGCAAGAGAGAGAGAGAGCACAGAGGGAGAAGGAGAAGCAGACTCCCCGCTGAGCAGAGAGCCTGATGTGGGGCTCTATCCCAGGACCCTGAGAACATGACCTGAGCAGAAGGCAGACACTTAACCGACTGAGCCACCCAGGTGCCCCTGACATCTACTCTTTCATGCATTTGATTGAATTCAATTTTTTTAAAAAATTCACTTAATAATGTCTTTATTTAATCTTCTCTATAAGTGTTTATTTAATCTCCTCTCTAAGCGGCTACCGAATGTGGGTCTGATTAACAAATTTGTGGTGTAGCTTCTATGGTTCCAAGTAGGAACAAGAAAACAAGGACTAAGTAGTGATTTTATTTTCATAGAGCTTAATGTATTACATCTCTAAAGGAATGCCTTTTATTCTGAGATTCTGCTGGATTATTTCTAATTTTGCATGTGTGTTAAAACCTACTTTCACTTGGGGTATCTGGATGGCGCAGTTGGCTAAGGGTCTGACTCTTGGTTTCAGTGTCCTGGGATCGAGCCCCACATTGGGCTCTGTGCTCAGGGGGGAGTCTGCTTGAGATTCTCTCTCTCCCTCCTCTTCTGCCCCTCCCACTCGTGCTCTCTCTCAACTAAATAAATAAAATCTTAAAAAAAGAAAAACCAACCCTGCTTTCTCTTAGGACAAAGTTGGGACAACAGGCAAAATTTTAATATAGATTGTCTATTAGATAATAATAAACATCAATATTAACTTGCCTGAATATGATGATGGTGCCATGGTTATATAAGAGAATACATTTTTACCTAGGAAACATACACAGGAGTACTTAGGGGTAAAGGGTTATGATGTCTGCAACTTACTCTCAAATGACTCATCAAAAATGTGTATGTAATTGTTATATATTAACATATAGAGGGAGATAAAGAAGGATGTGGTAAAATGTTTGCAATCTCTAGGTGAAGTATAGAAGGACATTCATTGTGATATTCTTTTTTTTTTTTTTAAAGATTTTATTTATTGAGTGAGATAGTGATAGAGAGAGAGCATGAGAGGGGGAGAGTCAGAGGGAGAAGCAGACTCCCCGCTCAGCGGGGAGCCCGATGTGGGACTCGATCCCGGGACTCCAGGATCATGACCTGAGCTGAAGGCAGTTGCTTAAACAACTGAGCCCCATTCATTGTGATATTCTTACAACTCTTTTGTAGGCTTAACATTGTTTCAAAGTAAAAAGTTAAAAAATATACTGTCATTCATGAAACCACGGTGAAAAGAGACAATGGTAGTTTTAAAAATATATCACTTTGTGGTAAAACAAAAAGTACTCAACTTTTTGTTTCCCAAAAATAATTAAAAAATTAAACTTGTCTATTAAATTCAACTCTGGAAACCACAGACTTGCAGCAGCGATTACACTTTCATTTTTAATTAATACAACAAAAAAAGTCACCTTATATTAGCAAGTTTTCTTCAAGAATAATTTTATATACATTGAAAATAATGTAATTTTGGGGGTATAAAATAAAATGCTTATTTTTTGGGCAAGGTATAGACATGGAAATTATACTTTTTTTCCCCTGTGAGATTTGTAGTGTGAAGTTAGTTGCTTCACAGTTTTTTTTTTTTAATTTATTTATTTGACAGAGAGAGAGAGAGAGAGATAGCGAGAGCAGGAACACAAGCAGGGGGAGTGGAAGAGGGAGAAGCAGGCTTCCCGCCGAGCAGGGAGCCTGATGTGGGACTCGATCCCAGGACCCTGGGATCATGACCTGAGCCAAAGGCAGATGGTTAACGACTGAGCCACCCAGGTGCCCGCTTCACAGTTTTAATAAATATTTTCTTCATCTTACAAGATAGTATTGTCTTTGCAAACACACTTCTATAGCTATCCCTTCAAGTTTTGCAGCTTATCCATTCATCCCACAAACATCCATTCAGCACTTTTGTTTTAAGACACTGTAAATAAAATAATGAGTAGGATATGGTTTTTATCCTTGGGTGAAAGAGGAGGAGAGAGGAGAAATAAATAAGTTCAAAACAATGATGGCGAGCATACAATAAAAATTCAAACAAATTGCTGTATATGGTGATACCAAAGAAGATGCCCAGTTCCAAATGGTGGTGGAAGTTTAAGGAAGGCTCGCTAGATAAACTTGCAAAATTTCCCTCAAAAACTCTACCCAACTGTAGAAGGGAAAGACCTCAGGGACCATATGGAATATTCCAGACTTTTCTCTGCTTCATCTGTGCCTCTTGATTGCCTGTATTCTTTAAGTTATTAGTAAAACTCAATACTGGAGTAAGATCTCTGATTCATGTGAGTCTGACTTTACAATCTAACTCACTATATTGGCTCGATATGTAACTATCATCCTTCATGGCTCCCTATTCTAGGATTAACAGCAATATCCTCAAGATGGTCTGTGAGGCCACACAGCATCATGGTCTACCCCTACCTACATCTTCAGCTCCATCTCTTACCGTACACCCCTTCATTCACTGCATTCTAGGCCTACTGATCTTTCAGTTCCTAAAAAAGTGCCAGATTCGCTCCTGCCATTTGGTCATTGCACATTGGTCTCTCTCATCCAGGGGACCCTTCATCAGCTGTTCTAGCCCCTCTGCTACCCTTAATCCCCATTTCCTATGTATTCATCTTTCATACTTCAACTCAAACAAACCTTCTTCATGGTACTCTTTTCTGACTGCAGTGAAGGGCAGGTTTGGCAATTATGTCTCTATTTAAAAGTAAGATTCCTTATAGCACTTATCTCAGTTTATAATTATCTTCTTATTTGTGCAGTTATTTGATTTATGTCATTTTCCTACTGGACCACACATTCTGCAAGACCAGGACAGTATCTTTCTCAACTCAATTCTGGGCATACTACATTTTAGAAATATTTGCTGAATGAACTAAATGAATAATAAATTGAGGAAAGATAAATCTGAAAGCAGTGTAGATGGACCAGAGTCCAGGAATCAATTGAGTAATAACAGACCAGCAGGAGATAATTAAGACCCAAGAAGAGGAGATGGAATCCACCTGTGTTACTCACTGTGCGGGATCTTGGGCAAATTATTTAGCTTCTGTGAATCTCAGTTTCCATATCTATACAAAGAGTATAATAATAGTGTCCATCTCCCGGCTTTGTTACAGCAATTACCTGGGACAGTGTATATAGAGCTTAGTGCATAGGAAGTGTCAGATTAGCACACAGAAATGTCCATCATTTGATCCCATTTAGTTGCCAGATCTGGGTTGCAAACCTGGCTTGCAGCTTTCTTGTGGCTAATGTGCAAATGGACATGTGATTATTTAGAAAGGTCATAGTGCTCTTAAGATAAAAATAAACTATGTGTTCATGAAAAGCAGAGCTCTGTTCCTTTGTCCCCTCACCTGTTCCCCAGCTGAAAGAAATTTCTCCTTTTGGTTTCTTAATAAGAGACCCAGGCAGGCTGCAATGGAGGGAGAAGATCTCTAACAAAGAGTTCCCATGGCAGCTTCACATGGCCACCCCTCAGTGTGAACTAAGGCCAAAGTAACTGCAAGAGGCCATTGTTTTGGAGTCCAAAATGTCTAAAGAATAAAAGTTAGAATACCCAAAGGAGCTCTCTTAACCTGGGATGTCAGGGTTTCTCTGAAATCCCCAAATTGTGTAAGTGCTTAGTATGGACTAAGTGGCTTATCAGCATCTCGAGAAATATCCAGGTAGAAGAAACATGTAGAATATGGAGGCAGGCAAACAAATCTGTTGGGATTTAGGTGTCTTAGGTCTCAGGCCTCTGGCCTCAGGTATGGGCCATCAGCTGACAGTGAGCCCCCAAAATACTGAAGTTTCTCACAGAGCCAGACTTCTTAGCATAGGTTTGGGCTTGGCTGGGTCTATGGGAAGGCCCACAAGGCAGGGCCAGGAGGGTGGTTAGAATTATCAGTCTATTTCAAGATAGTAATGTCAAGGAGGGAAGAAATATCAGTTGGAAAACTATCATCAGTGACCCAGGCACATCAAGGTGACTTCTCAGACTGCATCATCCAAATGGAACCAAAGACTTTTGAAAGCAAATGCTAAGGAGGGGATCTGATGAAAACATTTATGAAAAATTCCTAGTCATCATGCCTCCAAAAGAGAATGGGGCAATCAACGGAACAGGTATAATGAACATTCCAGACAGAGACAAGGTACCTTGATGTGTAGATGAATGATTACTCTATTTCTAAGTTGGTTTATTCAGTTATACTTCTTTCTACGTTAGACTTGCAACTTGTGAGCCCGGAGGGCCTACATAATCCTATTAGGCAAAGATTCTTTCAAGCAGGCATTTACTTTTATATGCCTTTGAGGATGATGATATGAAATATCACTTTTCCTTCTTCCCATGTTCATCCCTTCTGGGAGATGGTGTAGTAGGATGTACAAGGATTCCTAACACATCTCCCTGAAGGTAGGACCAGAGATTCTACCATTTGAAAAGGAAGAATTTCTGATTCTTCCATTAAATTATTTTGTTATTTCAAAGTATGACATGATCTCTTCACATCAAGCAGCTCCCCCAGGTTGTAGCTTCCATAGATCTCCCTTCTGTAACTCAAGCCTTGGGTGGGCCTGCCATCTAGCCAGGGGCACGACCCTGGGAAGAGCGAGCGTGGAGCCTCGCTGGAAGCAGGCAGAGCCTGTAGCCTGCGGTGCCCAGATGTTAACATGTCTGAAGAGCAGGGCTGGGATGGAACCCCCAGAAACATCCGTGGTAAAATCCACACACAGCCATACAGAACCTGCTTAATGTAGTTGTTTTGTATGGAAGAAGTAAACGGCACTAATTCTGACAAGGGTTTCTGAGAAGAGGCATCTGTACTTCCTATAAAAAGTATGCCTCAGAATTTTGCATACACCCAAACTGGAAGATGGAAAGAATGTCATACTTGCTAACTCCAGGTGCCTCGTGAAATACGACATTTCTATGAGGCAATGGCTTTGAATTTATGCTTGTGTTGTTTGCTATACAAACAGGTTTGAGTATGTGCCCTAGTCAAGGCATGGTGCTAAGCCGGCCTGGCAGGCAGCCCTCAGCACCCACCCTTTCGCACCTGGGCACAGTGGGAGGCGCTGAGGTCCTCGGCTGCTCTCCACCTTTCTGACGCTGAGAAGTGCACTGAAATTCAGGGGTGGAACCAGATGACCTTCTAGGGTCCTTTCCATCTCAGTGTTTTCTGGTGCCAGACTAGACAACACCAGCTGTTTTAATTCATTTGCAGAGCAAGAAGGTCTGAAGTCTGTTTTTTAAGCATGTAAAGCTATTACAGACCAAGATTCAGAGAAAATCAGACTCCTTTTTATGGCTTATAGGTGAATTTTTAAGTGTACAAACCTGTGATGTTTATTTAGCTGTTCATGTGTTTGTTTTGCTGGTCACTTGTATCATAAACACGTTGTCGGCAGTGCAAATAACAAGAAAGAGTTGAGTTCGCCCCCCCCCCTTTTTTTTTTCCAGGGAGAGATTTTGTTTCTAAAAAGCACTGTTTCCCCTTCTCTGTGTCAAATGAAAGAATGAAATATAAACAGCATCTCCTTGAAACCCCCCAAATACCAGCAATTAGGGATGCGCTATTAAAAAAGAAAAAGCACACATATGTATGTCAGCAACTCGGGTGGCTGAGGACTGTTTTCTGGCTAGACGCTGTTGGACTTTTTGAAGATCCCCGTCACTTGCGCGCCCCAAGAAGCCTGGGGCTCCCTCTCTTACCTGAGGAGCCGGAGCTCGGCCAGCAGAGTGGGGTTTTGCTGCGCCTTCTCTGGGGTGGGCTGAGAGGCTTGTTCATGCTCTAGCCGCAGCCTCTGGATCTCCTGTAAGATTTCTCTTGGGAGAGAGGAAGAAGGTAAGAAACTAGGGTCAGTCACCTTCCAGGGGATCCCGGATACTCACATCTGGGCGGGGTCAAGCCGTCTTCAGGAGCAGGAGCATGCACACCAGCGGTGTTTAGGAGCTACGGGCTGCGGGGAGCTGGGCACTCATCGGGAAGGGAAGGCTGGTCTCAGCGCAAGCGCGTCCAGACGCTGCGCGTGTTGCTGGAGCCTTCAAGCTGAGAGTGCTCCCCAGGACCTAATGATCTCTCTACTAATATAATGCCGTGGTAATGCGTTCAACTTTGAAAAGTGCACTGCTGCCGAGCAAAAAATGTATCTTCCGATTATTGATGATCACAGTGTGACACCATGAAAAGTACTTGCAGCTACCAAGTTAGAGGTGCTTGGAGGGAAAATAAGGATAAATGGTGTTCATTTCACAAAACGAAATAACCCCATTCTCTCAGCAGGAATGAGATTCCTCTCGCTGGATTTATCTGAGAAGGCCCCCGTTAGGCAAAATTCTTTTTCTTAACATTTTCGGCCTTAACAATGGATCTCGATGAGGGTAGCCTTTGAAGGAAAGTGCTTTTAAAAGGATTCACTGTAATTGAGTATGTGACAGAAGAGAGCTATTGGCGTGACCTCTGTCTGGGGTGAGATGTGTCGGTCTATTATTAATGTTGGAGTCCCGGCTGCCCCCGCACTGAGGTGAACATTAGGCCGGCCATAAAGGATAGGTGACCTGTGCCAGGCAAATTATCCCTAAGTGAGTTAGAAGCCATTAAGCAAGGTTACAAGTCACGTATTCTTGGGGGAGGGGTCAGTCTCCCATCCAGCAAAATGCACAAGAGACAGACAATAAGAACAAAGCACCAAGGAATGGAAGGTGAACTTGGTGAGCAAGGGGGATGGCTTTCCATCTGAAAGGCTGATTTACAACTGCCTGCTTCATAAACACACCAGAGTTAAGAAGCTAATTATCAGTCACTACACCTCTCGCAGGTACAGTGAGAAGATTGAACTAAAATTCGTGGTTTCCCACCTTTTTCTGTCCCCCTTGGTGTTCCATGGTGGAAACCTTTCTTTAAGAGAAATTTTCAATGGGAATTCAATACATCAAATGGTTAAAAGGGAGCTGCTCTGGTGAAAGAAAGGGTGGGCCCTGAGCTGCAAGCCCTTCCTCCCTGCTCTTCAGGCACCTTGACAGAGCCCCTGGGTCCCACAGAGCTCAGCCTGAAAATCAGTAAGCTGGGATTTCAAAGACCTCCTCCAGGGCTACCATCCTGATATTCTACGACTCCCACTAGTTCTCCTTGTTGGTTCCAAGGACAGAACCATGACGCAGCATTTAGCCTAAGGAAGAAAAAGAGAGAAGCAGCTCTGATAAGGAAAATAATGGTAAGATATGTAAAGAGCATTGAGTACTTAGTCTCTACCCAGGAAAAATGCTCTCTTCTTTCATCTTATTTTATTTAATCCTCAGACAAATTATTTTATATGTGGGTATTGCTATTATCTGTTTCATGAATAAGGAAATCAAAGCACAGGCCAGTTAAATGACTCACCCAAGTTCAATAACAAATAGATGGCAGAGGTGATTTAAACTCAGGCGGCTTGGCTCCAAAGCTTGTATATATCCGACTCCCGCCGTCTTTGGTACTTGCTCTGACAGGTCTAGCCTATGCAGGCTGTGACTTCCACATCAGAATATAGTCCTGCTACTCCTAATACCAATCCCAACTGGCTCCTCCAAACGTGCTATGAGGAAGCATTATCTTCTAAGATTACTGCTGAAATGTCCACTACCTAGGGTAGTCATAAAGTGAAGTGAGGAACTCTATCCTCTCCTGAAGCTCAGAGATCTGATTAGTGGGTTAATTGTCACCTGGGAGACCGTGGGATCCCTGGGGTGAATTCCCATGGTGCAGCAGTGGGACCTGGATAAGTTTCTGGGATGTGGTTCTGGGCTCTTTGGAGGGCATGAGGCCACTGGTTTAGAGAAATGTGTTCAGGATGGACTAGATGCTCTTCAGGCATGGGGTGGGGAACTCTATGGGCCATGAAAGGACTAAGGGACCGGATGAACTTCTCTCTCTGATATTGTTATCCAGAAACATCTTGGAAACAAGCAGTAAGAGTGGTAGCACGGGACAGCCCGGGCCATGAGGACATTCATGGTGCTTCTTGCTGATTCTAGAATCCCACATGGAGGCAGATATTATTGCCTGGGGTATTTCCTTAAGGGAAGTTCTGATTTCTCCTCATGCTCAGTGGAAGCAGAGGATTGGAAGGGAAAATAGTGCTCTGGAGAGGTGGGAGAGCAGGTGAACACTACAACCAAGATAAGATATTTGTGGGCTTGGGAGTTTTCACTTTAGTCTATCTTTCGTTCTAAGAACATGGAAATGTGCCAACCAAGTTTGTATCTTCCTTTAAATTTTTGTCCACAGAACTTTATTTTTTTTAAGATTTTATTTATTTATTTGACAGAGAGAGAGAGAGAGCAGAAGCAGGGGGAGCAGGAGAGGGAGAAGCAGCCTCCCTGCTGAGGGACTTGATGCCAGGACCCTGGGATCATGACCTGAGCTGAAGGCAGATGCTTAACCAACTGAGCCACCCAGGTGCCACTCTCCATAGAACTTAAAAAAAAATACTTTGACCATTTATCTCCAAATTCTCAGGTCAAACTCTATAGGCATGAAACAATGATCCCAACCTTGTCCTCTATTCAATTTGATCTCAGAAGTTATATCAGTGTCTAAGAATGGGATTCAGGGGTAAGATGTTTTGGTGCTCTTCTAAGAAATATAGAACATACAAGTTGCTCCCATGTTGGACTTACTCAGTATTGAGTTTGAGATCTAATTCCACTATTTATTATTTTCTCACTCAGTATCTATTTACTGAGCTTCTACAACGTTCTAACCATGGTTCTCGAACCCAGGGGCCATGTGGCATGGCCTCTGTTCTCAAAGAACTTCCACTTCAGTCAAGGAAGACAGACAATACTCAAGGAAGCAAACACAGATGCTATTGTTTCCGATAGTGATGTCTCTCTCTCTCTCTCTCTCTCTCTCACACACACACACACACACACACGCACACACACGGAGCTGTGATAGAGAGCGGTTCCTGGTGTAGGAGGTCATGGCAAGATTAGCTAGGCCTCGTGGGCAGAGAGGCAGAGAATAATGAGAAGGGCCCATCCATGCAGAGACCGTAAGGAAGAGCTCTCTACGATGACAGAGCAATGAGTGCAGAGGCTATAAAGAAAGAAGTAAGGAGGAGGGTAATGAGCAGGGTTTCCTGAGGCTGGAAAGGTAGGCAGGAATTAGTCCCGGTCAGACCTTGCAGACCATGGTAAGAGGGGTGGGTTTTAGTCAAAGTGTGACAGAAACCCATCAGAAGGTTTTGAACAGAAAATAACCTGATATGACTTGTGTTTTATACAGTGCCGGGTTGGGATGGTGGTAATGGTGGAAATGGAGTGGGCAGTTTGGGATATGTTGTGATGGTCAGCTGCAAATCAGTCTGCGTTGAATAAAGAAAAGGCTGCCAATGGACTGGGCCTCTAGGTGTTTGGCTTGAGCAACTGGGGGCCCGTGGTGTCAGTCCAAATTCCTCTTTCGGCCGGGGTCCTTATAAGGACCCTCCCTGAAGAGCCTTCCATTTGTCTCTGCATGAGCCAGCTCCTTAACGAAAGCAAGCATGTCTGTACAAGGGAAATGAGGCTGTCTAGAGAGAAAGCATTGATTGCACTGAGATCTCAGAACTGTATATATATATATATATATATATATATATATATATATATATATATATATATATATATAGTCTCATGAAGCTTTCAAAAATCTAAAATCTAAAGACCCGCTTCTCAGAAGCCCACATCACCGACGAAAGATGTCATCCTTTAAAGAGGCACACAGCTGAAATACCTGGATATTTTAAAGCATTAACTACAAGCTTTCAGTGAGCACACACTGATCAAAACAGCCAGCGTGTCTAAAAAGCCTTACCTGTTCTTGTTTTCTAGCTCTGCGATCAACTGCCTCTGCTGCTTGTTTGCATCAATGGTGAAGGAGATGTCAGGAGCACTCCGCTGCTGAGTTGGCTGCTGTAAGACCAACGTGTGGTTGACTATTTAACATTGGGAAGGGAAACTGCCTGTGCTCGAGAAGACCGGGATCGTGAGATAGGTAGACGTGAAAGAAAAAATTATTTCTATCAAAGCAAGAAAAGCAAATACATGAGATTGCCATTCATCTCCTAAGGACCAACTTCTCTATGAATCTGGAGGACACCTCTGCAAAGAAAAGCAGAATGGAATTCTTTGGCAGGCAAATACACAAAACACAGAAAAAATAGTTTTGTAGCTTTCTTTTTTAATTATGCTTTACTTTTATTTTTTTAAAAAAGAGTTTTATTTATTTGAGAGAGAGTGAGAAAGAGAGAGAGAGGGGTGGGGAGGGACAGAGGGAGAGGGAGAGAGAGAATTCCAAGCCTGACTCTGTGCTGAGCACAGAGCCCAATGTGGGGGTCGATCTCATGACCCTGAGATCATGACTTGAGTGGAAATCAAGAGTTGGATGCTTAACCAAATGCGCTACCCAGGCGTCCCCCCCCCCCTTTCTAAAGAGTTATTTATTTATTTGAGAAAGAGAGAGTACAGGGAGGGGCAGAGGGAGAGGGAGAGAGAATCTTCAGGCAGACTCCCTGCTGAGCATGGAGCCTGATTCAGGGCTCAATCTCACGACCCTGAGATCATGATCTGAGCCAAAATCAAGAGTCTGATGTCCAACTGACTGAGCTACCCAGGAGCCCCTGTTTTGGAGCTTTCTGACTTGAAGTTTTGGGGATCTATTTCGTTCTTGCTGTGCTGTCCCCATTGCAATGGTTCTCTCAATATAGGTGGGTGTAAAAAATACTTCCCTGTTGAGACACCTCTCTAGAATTACTGTTCAGTCACTGTAATGTACAATTAAAAATTTCATGGTTTTAAACTCATAGTTACTAGGATTTTCTTTTCTTTTGATCAACATACTTATAGCATTTCTTTATTCATATAGGTAATTTTACATTGATGGATATATACATCCTTCCTCCACATTCATGCCATACCATCATTCCTGGTCATGTAGCTGGCTTTAGCAACTGGTGTATATGCAGTCATAGCTTTCGCCATACATATACATACATATGTGTGTGTATATATATATACATATATATATATGCACACATACACACCAATTAATCTTAACAAATTATATATATATAGATATATATACAAATTAACCTGACTAAATACACATATACATAAAAGTAAGGTATATGATTATATATGTATATACATATATACATATGTATATTTATATGTGTACTTTTTGTTGTAAAATCAAAGTACTATTTTATTAAATGAGTTCTTTTACACAATATGAACATTTCTTATAATTGTAAGAGAATTTTTTATAACAAGGATGGACTGATTTTCAGATTTCCAAATGAGAGTCAACTTTTACATACGTATTATGTTTACATATGTATATACATGCAATATATGTATATATTTAAGGGTGTATTTATTTAATGAAGGTTTAATTTGTCATTGTTTTATAAAAGCAGGATCAGATTATGTATAGTTCCCTGCCCCTTGCTTTCCTTGCTCTACAGTACATTGTAGAAATTCCTCAATTGGTTTTTAAACAAATTAAAAAAAATCACAATCTTTCCACTAAAGAATGCCAAGCTTTTAACATTGGCACTGATTAATTAATTAAGCCCACAAAGACATGGAAAACCTCAGCCTGCTTTTTAATGTCCAGATACATGACTGTAGGAAAGGTTAAGCTTGGTAAAATGTCTGGCTTTCATAAAGTTTTCCTATGATTTTTTAATTAGCATTTCTTTGAACAAAGAAATGATCTGTGCTGCGAACGAAGAGATTTGAGGTCCTAGGTTTTATGTCCTAAATAAATGGCTTCCTGTAGTTAAGTCTGGCAGACGGCAGCTTTGACCTGTGATCTAGGTTTTCCCTCTGATTTCATGACGTAATTTTTTGTTTCTCTTATCTGTTACATATTGATAAAAGTAGAAACTTATCTGAGCCAGTTGTGGATCTGAGTCATCGCTTTGCTCTTTTTATTAAGTGATCGGGAATTATCCAGAGAAATCAGGGGCTGGGCTGGCGCCGCACTGTTGTAACTGCGTATCTGAAGCTACGATTTCTGCTGTACCAGAACCATAGCTGGAGAGGGACAAACGGAAGCAGGGGAAGGCTTGTGTGTGCATCCTGCAGGCCATCCAGTAACACCTCCTCAGCCCTGCCGTCAGCACCGACCATCAGGGTAACAGTGAACATGAATGACAGCCTCGCACTCGAACGACTTACCGAGGAAGTGGACTCTGCCGCCAGTCTGGCCGCGTACCTGGCGATCAGCCTGTGTTCTTCATCAAGCCGGTTTGAACTCTCAAGCATACTATGGAGAACAGAGCAAGAAGGAGACTGTTAGGCAATGAGAAAGACTGATGTGTTCCTATCACTGCCAGGGGGCTTTGCTATTTCAATTTTTTGGTGCAAAAATTTGAAAGCTGTACAAACCCCTGTTAGGTTAATGATCTCAGACTTGGATTCATGACACGATCTAATATGTGGCCAGGAAGTTTCATCAATAAATCCTGTCTTCAGTTGATTCAGTGTCTTACTAAGAAAACTCCAAAGAACAGTGACTTTTCTCATCAACATATCTGATAAAAGAATATTTTCTCTTTAATTTTATTGCCTGTAACATTTTAATTTAAATATCAGAAAATATGGGAGCAAGACACAACCCCCCCCCACCAATTGTGGGGTGCCGGGGTGGCTCAGTCCGTTAGGCATCCCACCTTTGATCTCAGCTCAGGTCTTGAACTCAGAGTTGTGAGTTAGAGCCCCACATTGGGTTCTACGCCCAGCATGGACCCTATGTAACACCACCACCACCAACAACAACAACACAACAATTGTGGTCAGCCTGCACTGATCACCACCTTCTGGTATTCACATTTGTGTGTAATCCTCTTCCTTTGGTACGGGCTGGGCTTACTGGCTAGGTTTTAATAAATAGAATACAGCAGAAGTAATGGAATGTCACTTCCAACATTAGGCTATAAAAAAGGCCATGGTTTCCATCTGGAGTATGGTTTCTCTCTCTTGAGCTCATTTGGATTCCTTGCTCTATGGGAAGCTAGCTACCATGTTATAAGGCAGCCTGTGGAAAGACCCATGTGATAAGGAACTGAAGCTAGCCAATAATAACCTTGTGAATGAAAGCTCATAGGTAGAGCCTTTAGATAAGATAGCAGCCCCAGCCAACAGCTTAATGGCAACTTCATGAAAATCCTTGAGCCACAGGCACCTAGCTGGATTCCTGACCCACTGTGGGATAATAAACGTTTGTTCCTTTAAGATGCTAAGTTATTGGATAATTTGTCATGTAGCAACAGATAACTAATACAAATTGTTATCTATAATATTACTACTCAGGTAACTTGCCATTTTATATTTACTTCTAGAAAAATGGAATTATAGCAGTGGCTTCTAATGACATTAATGGGAATTGTTTATTGTCTTATATAATTATAGAAATTGTTCATACTAGAATAAGAATGATCTGAGCCCTTAAAAAATTAAAGCAAATAGAAGCATTTTAAATTTCCCAATTTTCAGAACGTTCTTCAATCAAGACAAAGTTTTGCATGCCGTTAAAAGAATTCTATGAAACATAACAGTAACATCCATCCTGTTAACAGACTAGTTGATTATAGTTTGGTTTATCAGTTATTACGGTAAGTATTGGGTCAGAATCAAGATTAGAAACTAGTTTCTCTCATCCCTAAATATATTCTCCTCCATTTATATTTCCTACCTGTTAATCTTAAGCCTGTTCTTAAAGAAAAAAATTAAATACTCATGATTATACACTGAAAGTAAAACACTTCTATGCCAATATTAAGGTTGTAAGAATTGTCCATTGCAAAGAATTGAATCTGTATAGAGTAATATACACTTATATTATTTATATGTGTATTAAAATATAAAGTAAATATGCAACATAGTCTTTTAACATTTGTTCTAAAGTGAGAAGATGAGTGAAAATCATTATGTGGTCTCAAGAATATTGGCTATGTCACTTCCAAATAGCTTTTCACTGGCTGGCTGAATCCATTACTGTAACTTTTTTTGTTTTGGTCATTCATAAAACACTCCTGTCTCCATCATCTCTGCTCCAGTCTATACTCCTCAAGTATGTAAACTATACCTGTTCCCATCCTGAATACTTCCACTCTAGATTTAGCTCTTTTCTCTGGGCTACAATAACTACCTGGAATATTCTTGAATATCTACATTTACTAAGTCACTTTTCCATCCTCAGAAAAAGTCTTCTCTTCCCTTTTGCCCACATGAGATAATGCATGTAAAACACGTCAAGTTAGTATGATGCCTAGAACACATTAAGTGCTCAAAAGTCAGTTAATTCTTATAATTTTGCCTCTTAAGTAACCTGCTCAGATTCATTAATGAATCATGTCTCCTTCAAAATGTCATCTCCCATCTAACAACCAGGCAGAGTAGGGCTTCTTAAACTTTAGTGTATATACTTATCACCTAGGGATCTTGTAAAAGATGTAGTTTCTCATCTGTAGTTGGGGGTGACAGGGTAGTTTGTGGGGGGGGGGGCGGGGCAGAACCTGAGAATCTGCAGTCCTAAGGAAGCTTCCAAGATACATTGATACTGCTGGTCTAAGGAAAACCTTGAGTGGCAAGGATCTAGAAGATCTTGAAAATAAAATGGAAAATCTAAACACATGAAATAAACCCCAAATGCAAACCATATACAAGAAATAATATGAGTGTTTAACTGATATTCATATAGCATGTATGATATTTTATAAACATTCCTTAACACAGAAAATTCTAGATTTCCAGGCTCACATATGTGTGGTACCAATCCCCACAGATTGAGATTTCAGTCAGCATACAAAAGACTTGGAGTAAGAAAATAACTGTAACAGCAAAAGGAGTTGGTTCTGGAGAACTGATGCTTTAAAGCAGAAGTTTGTCTCTAGAACGCAATGTCTGTCCTCTGTAGCGGTTAAAATAATAACTGAGTTTCTTGTTACAGCTTTAATAAGAAAAAAAAAGTTACACTCTTTTCACTTTAAACTTAAAACTACTCCACAAAGAAACAATTTGATTTTAATATGTTTATCATTTCTCACTGGTATTAGAAATAATATGTCTAATTCAGCACAGTTTGTGTAGACAACAGGGCCCATTGCTCTAAGCACAGGGCAAGTGACTTTGTCAAAAACATTTGTGAGTGTTTTGATAAATAAATAATAAAAAAACTTGATAAAAAACCTCATGATAAAAAGTATCTTTTATCATGAATGACCAGCAAGTATAAATAATGTAAAGGTACATAAAGAAAAGCCTCTTGGAGATGTAAGACGTGAAGTTATGGGATCGTGTCTAGTAAGCTATAACTCATCCTTCCATGCCTTTCCTCCCCCAGCCCTGACTGAATGAGGGGTGGAGTGATACATTACCCCTTTGTGCATGCACACGATTTATGAGTCCACATGTGCCATTTCAGTATGTTCACATTATCCAAGGTTGAATGAGGCATGCCTCTGATAAATTCCATTATTTCAAGACTTCAATTACAAATAGTTGAAAATGAATGGCCAATAATCCCTACATCATTAAAGAAATACCGATTCCAACACTTTCTCCATCTCTGGCTATTCATTTCAAGACTTTATAATCAGTAATCTTGCTACAAGACCATGATGAATTAAAAAGTGGCTGCTGTGAAGCCTGCATTTCAGAGCAGGGAAATCTGTTATTTTGAAAGCTCTCCACTTTCTACCTTCAGTGCATGGCCAGTGTGTGTTGCTAGTGATTTCAAAATGGCATTCTAGACAGCTCAAGTGGCCTCGGCTGAGGTCGGGCTTACTAAATTGTGATTTAGCAAAGATTTCTGGGAACCTAGGGTGTGTTCACATCTTTGGTTTCTCTGTAAGCCTGTTATGACTTCCCAGGTGGGACAGTCAACCAAATAATAATGTGGTCCAAAGGGCAGCAGAAATACTTTCATGTTTTCTCGTAATATTTTTCCGTTTGTCTGAATGGGTGAACGGAATTTTATCAGTAGAGGTTTATTTTTAAGGTCATTAGGCCTCCTGTACCACTCTTCTATTAGCAAGCAGTGAAGAGGAGGATTACTGCCTGGGAAGGCATTCCTAGTTGCACTGAAGCGGAGGATTACCCTATCAGGTTATTTCCTACCTTTTGCAGTAGGTGGAGAGCAAAATGCTCTGGCAATGGAGCCTTGTTCAGGCCTTCAGGAGTCAGTGAGCAGAAGAGAGTCAGGATGGAAAGAAGCAAAGTGATTCTGGGGCCCAGGACATGATGTTATGGGACTGAAGAATGGGGAGGGAAATGAACTAACTCTCAGAGCTTCAACTGTTGGCTCTTGAATGACTGGTTTGAAAGGAAAAGACAGGAAATCATGAAGTGGCAATCTTCCTGGATAATAGTAATAAAATTGACCATGACAATGGTGTCTCTGTAGGGATGCCTTCAAACTCCTTTATCGAGACCCTGACTTTACCTACTCACTATGTTATAACACCAAGGCCATGCATTCTACCTTCTTCAAACTCACAAATTCCTCTGTTTCCTTCTATTCCAAGGGTCACTGATGTGCTCCCGGCCACTGTCATCTTATCTGGAATTAGCATACAGCCCTCTCAACAGGTTCCTCTCATTTTAGACTTATTCTTCCTTCCGATTCATTTTGCATCCTGTAGTCAATGATCTTTTAAAAAATGAATTTGGCTGTAACATGCATAGAATCCTTCAGTGGGTTCTCATTTTTCAAACTCCTACCTAAGACTTAGGAAGTCCTGCATAATCTAGCTTCATCCTTAAGCTCCCGGTACTCTAGCATCCTTCCCCAGTTGAGTTCTTCAAGGAGAAGTTCCACATTTTCTCTCTGCTCTGAACAATCTCTCTGCCTCCTCCACCCACTTTCACTTGGCCCATTTCTCTTCATCCCGCTGTTGGCTTTAGCGACCATTTTCCACCTTCGCCTCTGACCTCTAAATTTGGGTTTGTTGCTCCTCGGCACTCTGCACTGTCTGCCCTTCCTGTACCTGGTACCCTTCCCATTTTAATTGCCTTTTCACTTGTCTTTCTCCTTTACTAGACTGTAGCTTTTTTGAGGGAAGAATGGTTCAATCTTTTCACCATTAGATCTTGAATGTTTAGCACAGTGCTTGGAACACAGCAGGACGTGCTTAAGCGTTAGTGGGACAAAAGAACAAATACAGGTTAGCTCTCTTTGGCTTGCAGTGTCATGGACTTTGGCCCACATCTTCTGTATCCTTCTTGGCTCTGCATGCATCCTCAGCACTGAGAAAATCAGAAGGG